CGACGTGTAGCCCGCGGCTCACCCCGCGCCTAAGCCGCCTAAACTAGTTTCAACCTAGAATACATAGAATTCAAACAGTGTATGTAACTTGTTTAAATATAATTTAATCTAGAAGGCGGCCGAAGAGCAGTGCACATTTGAATGCTTGTGCTGTGAACCGATGGTCTGTCTGACCGACAGATCGATCATCTCAACTGCGTACAGGCGTCATACGCCCTTTCGCATGTTTTTCACGCTCAATTCTGTATTTTAAGACTCAATTTTGAAGCATTTCAATCTTGTAAGCTGGAGAAGAGAGATTAGTGCCTACAGGTGGGTCTTCGCGGTCACCGTTGAGGGCCAGCGAGCTGGTGACCTTCGCACAGCCCGTGCAGCTCGTAACGTCTCCTACCTTCGAAGGCAAAAGTTCACGTTGGGTTATTATTATTATTGCTCTCTATTAGAATAAACCCGAGTAGCAAAATAAGATATGGGGGCGAATGAAGCAGATTTCAAGGCCTGCAAACCGAAGAGGCCAGGGTCTCCACGTGACCCTCCGTAGAGCAGGTGCTCCAGGAGTGCAGCAGCAGATAACCAATTGCTAGTGCAGTTTCACCCAGCTTAGGGGATGGGGGGCGAGCTTATTTAGACGTTTTCCGGCAAATACGTCTGGCTGCGAAACACTGAAGGACACAAAGGAAACCAACCAAAGTCTCGAGTTGGGTAGTATCTCGCCCATATTCAGATAAGCCAGCAACGCCTAAACCCCAAAGAAATCGCTGCATCTCTTTATCCAGTCACATCAACACTAGAAAAACTGCCCAGTACAGGATGCGCAGCTGAGCCAGCGGGGCTCCAAGCGAAGCAGTAACCCAACCAGTAGCTGGGAGGGCAAACGGATACTGGTCCAATTAGTGCTGCTGCTGATACATGTTCTACACCATCAGTAGTCTGTCCGCGTTTTCCTGTGGCTATTCATCACACGCCAAAGGACAGAAACTTTCCATCTATGCTGTCTATCTTTGCACGAGTTTCATGGAGCAACCATGAACATCCGGCATAGACTACGGCACCTGATTCAATGCAGAAATCCCGTCGGTGTGTCATGCACGTGAGCCAACAAAAACTTCCCTAGTAAGACTGCTAAACTCATATTGCTGTGATATATATATATATATATATATATATATATATGTACATATATGGCGACAACGATACTAAAATGCTAGCAGCC